AACTACAACCTTTTTACAGGACTACAGCCTACGCCTCACCCTTGCCTGCACAGCAAACACTTGCCTCAGCAGCAAACACTTACAGCAGCAAATTCTCAAGAGGAGAACCAGATTTTCTTTACAGATTCTCGATACCAAAAATATTGTTAATCATAACAAATATTATCACTCTTTCAAAAGTATCTGCAATAAATACGAATTTAGAACTGTTGCCTTAATGTAGGATAGCTTTGAAAATGCTGGGGTTTGCACTGGAAGACATAGTTGAGAAATAGTAGAAAAAACACTTTTACCTATTTTTAACTAAATGCAGAGCTGTGTTTTCATTAAGTGTTGCTTTAAGAGGTCAGAAAACACAACGTGTATCCAGGGAGACAGCTACAAGGACTATTAAACAGTCATGCTTTGCACCACATCCTCAGGCTCAGGTGGGCTGGGATGACCAGGATCCATCTGAGCAGGAAGTACAGCCTTCCACGTTGGGTTTCATGCTGGAACTAGTTAAAAAAGGAGGAAAACAGCCCCAAATTCATGTTACGATCATCACACTTACCATGTGCTTTCACAGTCTTCCTTTCATGTATCCTTGAATTCTTTAATAACCATGACAAAGATCTATTTTGTTCCCAGGAGGGGATTTGCACAATGCTTACAAAAAATGAGCAAATAGCTAGAAATCAGGAAAAGATGAGTCAAATAGCACCTGTTCATGAATTAGATGTGAGAACAGAAAGACCTTGAGCACAGAGCTCATGAGGGACTACCCCGAACACTACCCTGCCACCACAATATCTAATAGTCTGCTTTCTTCCTGCATTTCAACGTGATTTCCACTCACGGTTGATTAAGAGGCGTTGGGTTTATCCACAGTGAGGCCCCCACACCATCTCACTGCCCAGCATGGCAAGGATCATACCTTACCCTCCTGCAAAACATTCAAGACCTTGTGAGAAGCTAGTCTGACGTTATTCCTGAAGTTAATGCTAAGACTGCAGAACAGGTAATTCAAGAAATCAAGCGACCACTTTGCAGGCTGCAGATACCATTTTTAAAGCTCTGAGTTTTGATTTATTTATCAAGATAACTGCTAGTTGTACAGGATAGTACAATGAGTGGTCTTTGCAGGATAACACAAGAAATCATACGTAAAACAGAGTATTTCATACCTGTGAAAAATCACCTTCTTGCCCTCTTCCTTACAAGGAAGTAAATTAAAAGTGGTAACTTTTACCACTTGAAATTTTCATTACGGCGTGATTAAAAATGAGGGGATGTACAGTTTTGTGTTTCTCTTACTCAAAAGTTCATGCCGCAAGTTTCATCTATGCCACAATTTCTGCAAAATGTTAGCAACTCCCGCTCCCTTTCCACAAGCAGCGTCTCACTCCACCTGCTGTGGAATAGTCACAGTCACGTTAAGTTAAAACCACCCACTGAAATCCAAGTGTTTTAACGAGTCCAGACAAGGATGTTCTCCCTCAGATTACGGGTGGGTAATGCTTGGAGTGCAGCTAAATACTAGCCCTTGACTGCCCGTCAGAGGACCCGAGAGCTGTTTGACATTAAAAAGATTCCCTGTTTTAAGGAGTCTTTCAATTAATCTTATGCCCTCTGATAGGAATTGAAGTGCCAACTACTACTGCAGTAATCAACCTGCCCACAAAGGCCAACAGGGAGCTGATGAAAGGGAATGCCAGGCTACCTGCTCAAGTGCAAACTGCTCAAGTACGGCTGTTTATAATAATTCATACTTATGAGCACATAAAGAACAATTATCTGTTAAAGCTTTGGAGGTTTGCTATAAAGAAACAAAGCTAACTACTGAATCCACACAAACTGTTCCAATGCTCTTGCTTTTTTTTCCTTTTTTTTTAATTATTCTCATGACTACAAATCACAACCAGGCACTGGTACAAAGCCCACTCAGAACTAAGGAATTCAAGGACCGGATGACTTTTATTTACAATTAATGTGTAACATGCAGTGATTGCTTGAGTGTCCACATGAAATGGCCAGTTTATTAAGCACTTGTTATACACGGCCATGAAAAAAATACTAACACTATGGTATCCTTGCTGAATTGCTACACCAACCTACAAACAACAGGGCATGAAGCATAAGGATTGCGAAATAAGGTAGTAAATTCACATTGCATCCATTCACCTACCCAGGCGGGTACTCCCATCGACAAACAAATCAGCCACACTAATCCAGCCCATGTCAACACCACTAAATTCAAATATTAAAGTAATAAAAAGTGCAACCTCACTATTTCTCTTTTTCCCACTAGAGACATCCTTGGGGAAATATCCTTGCATGCACCAAAACTGGTACGATTTCAATTCCACCCACATCTGGGCTCACTTGGGAACTAAATCCAGCACAACCCGTCTTGGGTCAGCCAGTGACCCCAAACAAAAATAGCTCTGGCAGAAAGCTGGATTTATGGAATAGGGTGGAGCCCATCCGAGTGTAAACCGAACAAACCCGCCACACGATGGAGAAGCAACAATTTCTCCATTCTGTTCTGTGCATGACAAGCACAAAGGCGACTCGTGCCATCTACGCAACATGACAAAACACATGACGTAATCAACCCTTGAACAGGTCAGAATCTCAGGTGTAATTTTGGTCTGACACAATTTAAAATGTAGCAGCAGCAAGAGTTAATTACCATCCGTCCCCAAAGCAGTAGAAATAAGAGAAGCAAACGTGGCTTGGGAATTGTAATAACACCAGCAGTGAGGCTGGGTCAGCAGGCCAGGGCCTCAGCTTACCAGCAGCATCAATCAGGGCTTAGCAGAGTTTAGCAATTTTATTGAAAAGGCACACTTTTGGTAAATTCAGATTAGCATTCCCAAATGTTCCAGTGCAGACAAGCCTAAAGTCAGGGGATGATAGCACCAAGGTTAGAAAAATTAACAGTATTAATTTTTTTTCAACAAAAGATTATTCTGCCCCCAGCACAAACACAAGACAACCTTGAAGTGCAGGCAGAACCCTGCTTGCAAACTGCACATTACCACCAAAGTAATGCATGCGTTCTCGTGCAAAAGAAACCAGAGTCTGAATTGGTGTCATGAGCAAAAGCCTGGTTTTGGGTACCAGTGACGAGGGTACTGGAGTTAAAGGGACACCTGATGATGTATTAGATACAGCAGGGATGTCCAGACAAGATCCTTAGGCACGATCAGCACGCAACTGGGCAGAGAGAGAAAAAAAAAAACCAAACCAAACTACATATCAATTTTAAGGGTCCAGAATTGCTAGCTTGTTCTACTCATCCTCTTTCATACAAAAATAGCAACGTCTACCAGTGCAAGGCACCTCTTAGTAATCAATGATTCCTAAAAGCAACCAACATCCTACATTGATTTAAGTTAGCTAACAATCCATTTCCAATACTTCATTTAGATTTCTAGTACACATTAACCAAAGAATAAAAACACCAAGAACAAATTGCTACATGCAAGCTTCCTGCTAATTACAGTGACTTTGTTTGTAAGCCCTTTGTAATACTATTAAGTGTCACAGCATACACAAATGTGAAACAAATTTAAGCTTTTAGAAGCACTGCAAAATTTATTTAAATCTGACATTTCCTCATGCTCAAAGCTCAACTTTCACATCACATTTTTCATAGTATTTAAACATACATACTGTCCCTACCCAAACAGAAACCCAAAATATAAAATAATATAAATTATGCTGGTTGTTACTATATCTCACACTGCCAGGATCTGATCTTGTAGCACCACAGAAAATGGGTACACCCCAGTAGCCAGCTGCATAGCACAAAGATTCCTGAGCACTCAGCGGCTGATGCAGCCAGACCTCAAAATCTACAGATTTCATCCAGAGGAGACATCACAATTGCCTGAAAGGGCTTAATTTTCTCCTTCCTCAGTAGTTTTATGCCAGCTGAAGAAGCTTAGCCCATCTCTCCTCCCTTGGCTATTGCCAGAGCCACTCTCAGGTGCATCCAACAACTTGCACCGGCCTGACAAGTGATTGATTTCAACCATCTCCAGAGTGCAAGTGGCAGGAGAGGAATGGTCTTTAAATTTAAAGCCTGAGCAAAACGGGGGGGGCAGCCAATAAGTCATATTTTTATCCCAAAGGCTTCCCTTTGGTAATTATCAAATCCTTGCACAAGCCGGGGTGTAAAAGTTTATCAGAAAGAGCTCACATGAATCTTTTATAACGGAAAGTGAAAGGCAGCTGGAGACTTAGGGTCCCCACCGGCTGTGCTCTTTATCAGTGCTGCTCAGGATTTAGCTCTACTTCACAAACAGGGATGAAGACACAGATCTTTCTGAAGCCCACTGCGTCTAGAAGGGAAATAAAACCATAAAGATCATGAAACGTTAACGCAGAGAAGTCTGCACCTGTGAACGGCTGTAATGCTGCAGGGCTGGAGCAACCTTGGACTTGGTGACTTTTATTGCTGGGGTGCATTTTTTTTTTCCCCCCTCTCAACTTTGCACACATGTCAGCATAGGCGAGATAGCTGTTACAGGGGAGGCGTCCAAGGTGGGGAACGAAGGAGATGAGGTCTGATGAGCGGGAGAAGAGGGAGGTTTTCCAAAGCAGTGACAGAAAAGCTCCCAGGGACCCAAAAGCAGGGTTTGGTGCTCCCTGCCTACAACCTCATACTCACTCGCCTCTCCCAAATATCCCCATTTCATAGAAAATTCCCTTGTTTTGTGCTGCTTTTGCTTCACTACAGAGCTCGGCCACCTCACAGCAGGGCAGGTGGGCTGAGGGGGCTGCTGCCCATGACACCTCCCTCAGCACCGGGCCGGTTCAGCTCACTAAACCAGCAGAGCGCACCCCACACCCGGTAGCCAAATTGAGGCGGGGGGAGAAGCGGGAGGACGAGGCCTCACAACCCCTCACACACGCTGAGGCGTGGGGGGTGTGGGTGTTTCCCGCCACCCTTCCCTCTCCTCACACCGTCCCGTTCGCCCGCCGCGCCCCCGCTCCCCTGAAGCGCTCACCGCAAACGGAGGTTGGCCATGAACTCGGGCATGGTGACGGCGTCCATCAACACGAAGTCGGCTTTGCCGAACTCCAGGCTCTCCTGCTCCGCCATGGCGGCAGCGGCGACGACGGTTGGGCTCGCGCT